AATATATATATATACTCAATCTCTGTCCAACTTTAGATACTGGAAAAGTATGAAAAAATGAAATAGGTTAGAAATGTATAAAATACTCAATATATAATCAAAATTCATAAAATAATATCTAACTAATACTATACGCTTCTTTCTTACTTCTACTGACCTAAACAGAAAAACTAAACAATGAAAATTCCACTTTGCTGAAAACAATGAATAGAAAGATGAAAAGCTGATATGATCGATAATGTTCGATCGCTTTATATATAACTGTGTTGCATATATCAGAGTAAAATATTTCAACGAAAGCACTAGTATTTAATCACTGATCTATATCGAGTCGTTCGAATGAGGGTACGGATCTATCAACTATATCAAATCTTAATAGCCTGTACGAAGAAAAAATATTGTTTTTTTCTAATAATAATCTTATTTTTTTTTGATCAAACTCAACATCTCTGCGAAAGATGTGCATATATGTATCATTTATCTCTATGAGCGCCATCTATCAGTTAATTTAGAAGATTGTAAAAGAAAGAACGTCTAGGATTTATCTAAAAGAGGCTTTAAATGATTAGCAAAAAATGTAAATATTTTTGTGAAAAAATTATTTGACTAAAATAATCTGCAAGTCTTTTGTCTGCTTTGGCTCAACTTTATGGTGACAGTCTAAGTTCATCAATTAGATGCATAACGAGCATAAAAGATAGAGAAAGAAATAAATGCATTTTCTCACGATTCATTAGTTTAATTGTTGAAAAAGTAAAAGATGGGAAAATATGTATAGACAAAAGAAGGAAATAATAAAAAGAAAAAACCATGATTATTATCTATATTACTCGCGAATTGTTTTTGAAAAGAACAAAAGAAGTTAAGATTGTTAAAGTGTGTTATTCGTTAAACGAATGTATTCATATTTGAGCTGTTATTTGGAACAGAGTAACGAACATTTCTTGGTAGCCTATGCAAAAATCAATAACCAAAGAAAAATTGAGTCAAATAATGCGAAAGCAATCAAAAACACAAGCTATTTTGTTCTTTTCAAGCCTAACTCTTGAAATAAATTAAACATATTATAAAAATAATACTCTAACTATGGGTCATTAAAAGTTTTGTTAAAAATGAAAAGGCAGCTTATGCTAAATCGCTATAGAAGAAAATTTAACTGAGCCGTAATCTCAGCATAAATCATCTATAGCCTTTCAACATTAGTCAACGATTTTTTTTAATTGCGTTAAACTTGATCTACTTCATCTACGCTTGCTCTTTTTGTTACGCAACTATTTCTTTCTTTCTTAATATAAAATATATTCTGATACATAGTACTCATAACATTCATTTCTATAGCGAGTCTATTTATGATGTGGATGTTCCTTCGCTCTTAGATCACCCATATCCACTCACACACATAACACTCATATTCACATTCACCATTTTTACGCGTTTTTACGTGTTTTTCCTATAGTCTTATCTGAATGAGTAGCATTTTTTATTGCAAGTCGTGCACCCTACTTAAATACAAGAAAAAGCACAGCGATTTTCAGTGTAAGTGCTGTACAATGCTTAGAAATAACAAAATCTGCAGCACTTTTAAGCGATTTCCATAGCAGGTGCTGAAAAGCGCTTAGGAAAATAAAAATTTACAGCACTTTTAAGCAATTTTAATGGTAAGTGCTGAAAAGCGCTTAGAAAAATGAAGTTTACAGCACTTTTAAGCGATTTTTAATGATAAGTGCTGTAAAGTGCTTAGAACAACCGTTTTCTAAGCTAAAATAAGCAGCTTATTGAAGTGTGAGCCTTTTTAAGCCGCCTGCAAATAGCTTACAAAGGCAAAAATTTTCACATGGGTAGGAAGAAAAGTTTCACTATTAATTTAACTTGAGATAAACGATTATTTTGTCGAGTCCCATATTAGAAAAAAGTTTTCCATTAATTTAACTTAACAGAAAAGAAACTACTTTATTGATCTACTATTGCACAAGAAAAGATGTCGCCATCAATTTAACATACTAAGATAAAGGATTATTTTATCGAATATCATATAAGAAAAAAAAATTCCATTAATTCAACTTAAGAGAAAACGAATTATCTTATTGAATCTAATATTAGAAAAGAAAAAGACTTCGCTCTCACTTTAACTTAAGATAAGCGATTGTTTTATCGAATCTGATATTAGAAAAAAACATTTCATTTAATTTAACTCAGATACAAGGAACTGCTTCTTTATTGAATCTATTTAGTATTAGAAAAAACTTTTTATCAATTCAACTAAGTTTAAGAACTATCTTATTGAATTTAATTTTAGAAAAAAACAAATTTCGCTACCAATTTAACTTAAGATAAAATATTACTTTATTGCACATAATAATAGAAAAAAATTTCTGTCTGCTTATCTTAAGATAAGCTTTTATTTTATCGAATCTGATATTAGAAAACAAAAATTTCTATTAATTTAAGTTAAGATAAAAGAAACTACCTTATTGAATCTAATATGTAAAAAACAAATTTCCTATCATTTCAGTTGAAAGCATTGGATCACTGCTCCGAATGTAAAATTGGAGAAAAAGCTTTCTATATCAGAATAGATGGGAATATTGACTTTTTATCACTCTCTTTTCTGTCCTAGGAAAATAATGTTCTGTATGCCAATATTTAGAAACGTTCATTTTTCTATCTTCGCCAAGCAGCAAAAGATGAATTTTCTCCATTGGGAATGAACGCTGTCTTTAATTTGACGATTTCGAATGGGACAGTAAACAATGACTATCTTTATTCTAAAGAAGGAACAATAGCAATTCACTTGGGAAAGTGTTATTTAATAAAAAAAAAGACTGATTTAGGTAATCAGATGGATGAGTAGAAAGGGTGTGCATGTGGGGTGTCACTATGGGTGTGATAAAAGAAGATGATCGTCATGTACATCCACACACCCCTTTTACATAAAGGTAGAATAATCTACTCTTATGCGTAGAATAATAAATCCTTTTCATGAAAAAGTGAAACAATTAACCCTTGACCGTAGAATAATAAACCCTT